AGGGAGTGAGATCGGGAGTGAGATGGAGAGTGAGGAGGTGAGGGAGGAAGAGAGAGAGATCGACAGTGAGATGGAGAGTGAGGAGTTGAGGGACAGAGACAGAGATCGACAGTGAGATGGAGAGTGAGGAGATGAGGGAGGGAGAGAGTTAGAGTGAGATGGAGGAGTGGAGTTAGTGAGTGAGAGGGAGAGCGAGGAGGTGAGGAAGGGAGAGATTGACAGATAAGCGCAGATGAGAGAGACAAGAAGCAGAGAGTGAGAGATAGAGACAGTATGAGGGAGGGAGAGGAAACAGAGAAAGTGAAAGGGAGGAGAGAGAAGAATCTGACATGAGTTGAGCTTGCGTTTCCTGAGCAGACTGTCCCCCAGCTTTCACATCGCGCAGCAAAAGATATTCAAACATTTCACTGGAACGATTCCTGTTCGATCATTTCAGATCCAAACGTCCCACTGGGGATGAGAACACCTCCCCTTCCCGCCCACTCCCCTACCCCAGGGTGTCAGTCCACTGAGCACTGATACCCCATGGGGCACAGAGCCCCTCAGGGAACACCATCTCTCCCCCCACCCCCCACACACAGGGTACAGACCCCCTCAGGGAGCACCAACTCCAACCCCACACACACACAGAGAGTACAGACTCCCTCAGGGAGCACCGACTCTCGCCCCCCCACCACACACACACGGAGGGTACAGACCCCCTCAGGGAGCACCGACTCCAACCCCACCCCCCCCCCACAAGCACACACAGACGGTCAGACCCCCTCAGGCAGCACCATCTCTACCCTGCCTCCCAACACACAGTGGGTACAGACGCCCTCAGGGAGTGCTGACTCTCCCCCCCTGCCAACACATACAAGGTACAGACCCCCTCACGGAGCACTGACTCTACCACCCCCCCTGCCAACACACACAGAGGGTACAGACCCCCTCAGGAAGTGCTGACTCCGCCTAGTGTACAGACAGCACCCCCACCCCTGTCACCCAGGTGTTGTGAGGGCAGTGTGTAGTGGGGGTGGGTGTTAAGAGAGGCTGGATGACGGCCCGCTCTGTCAGTACCTTTAATACCGAGGTCTTCCAGCTCCTGGCGGAGTACTCTGATCTTGGCCTTGTTGCTGCGGCAGTCGGCAAACAGCTTCTTGTAATTACGGCGGACCCCGCACGCAGCAATACAGCGTTTCAGGCGTTTGATGGTGGGGTGCTCTTCCTGCCTCGTCTCCTTCTCGTTCAGCTTCCTCTGTAACAGTCAGAGAGAGGGAGCTTTACCCTGTATCTAACCCCGTGCTGTCCCTGGGAGTGTTTGATGGGAGGGGACAGCGTAGAGGGAGCTTTACCCTGTATCTAACCCCGTGCTGTCCCTGTCCTGTGAGTGTTTGATGGGGGGGACAGTGTAGAGGGAGCTTTACCCTGTATCTAACCCCGTGCTGTCCCTGTCCTGTGAGTGTTTGATGGGGATCAGTGTAGAGGGCGCTTTACCCTGTATCTAACCCCGTGCTGTCCCTGAACCTGGGAGTGTTTGATGGGGGGGCCAGTGTAGAAAGAGCTTTACTCTGTATCTAACCCCATGTTGTCCCTGGGAGTGTTTGATGGGGGGACAGTGTAGAGGAAGATTTACTCTCCGACGAAGAGAGGGGAGGTGCTCACCTTGTCGTGTTTCTTTGCCTTGTTGTGTGAGATCTTTGCTCTGTCTCCATCGCTCTCACTGCTGCTGCTCGAACTGTCGCTGCCTCCTTTCGGGGCCCGTTCCTGGCCCCTGGAGGACGGGGACCCCTCACCCCCTGAGCTCTCGTCCGCGGAGCTCTTTGCCCCAGCTCTTTGGCCCTCGTCCTCACCGGACGCCAAGGTCTGAGAGTCGCTGTCCTCCTCCTCCCCTTCCTCCTCGCTGTCCTCTCTGCGTTTCTGGCCCTGCGATGGGGCGGGACGCGGTCCCTTGCCATTTCTGGGTCCCCCGGAACCCCGGTCGCTGTCCCCCATGCTGTCGCTCTCCGATGAAACTCCCTCCGTCCTGCTCTCGCGCTCCGCCCCGGAGCTCCGTCCCCGCAGCATCCCTTCGCCGACCGACCCTCCAGTGCCCTCCGGCCGGAACACTCTGACCCGGCGAGGTGCGATCTCCGTGGTGCGGGGACGAGGTTTGTCGGAGACTTGCTCCTCCTCCTCCTCCTCCTCGCTGTCCCCAGGGTCCGGTGAGGGGCTCTCCCTCCGCACTGCGCTCCCGCCCCGGCTCCCAGCTTTCTCCATCAGAATGGGCGGCTCGTCTTTAACACACAGATCAGGGTCATGAGTGAGGGGCAAGTTAACGTCGCCTGCACCCACTTCCCTACCCCAGTCACCTCCTCCAGCACCCTACGCCCCCTCCCTATCTGTCACCCCCTCCCTATCCCTGTAACCTCCTCCAGCCCCCTACACCCCCTCCCTATCTCTGTTACCTCCTCCAGCCCCCTACACCCCCTGCCTATCTCTGTCACCCCCTCCAGACCCCTACACCCCCTGCTTATCTCTGTCACCCCCTCCAGACCCCTACACCCCCTGCCTATCTCTGTCACCCCCTCCAGCCCCTACACCCCCTCCC